ATATATATATATTCATATAAACTTACCAGCATGCGGTAGAGCATTTGTTGTGCGTCTGTATCGACAGCAGCAATTTCAGGAAATGTTCGGGGTACGTCAATAAGAATAAGATTAGAGTAATTAGATTTATGTTGAGAAAGAAAAGAATATAAATTAGCAGAGATATATCCACCGTGATAGGCGCGTATAAAAGAAGAAACACAAAAAGAATCGGAAGGATATGAAGACAAGAATAATAATAACTTCTTTTCTTCTTCTTCTAACATTATTCTTCTTCTTCTTCTTCTTTCTTCTTCTTCTTCTTCTCCTAATTCTAATTCTTCTTCTCCTTCTTCTTCTTTACTACGTCTGTATAATTCAAGCGCCTTCCACGCCCGCCAACGATATGCAGGTGGTACCCCTCTGCAATTCAAACAAACTTAAATAAATTTAAATAAATTTAAACAAATTAAATAAATTAAAATAAATTAAAATAAAATATTATGAATTTAAATAAATAAATCGATAACACCAGACAAGAAAGAATAAATACAAATAAAAATAAATATATACGTGCTTCGGGTGTATCGGCATCTGCAGATAAACACCTAATAAAATTGTTTAATGAAGACAGAGTCAATAGTGATAATAATAATAATAATAATAATAATAATAATAATAATAATAATAATAATAACTATAATAATAATAATTATTTTGTAATAAAATACGCAAAGGAGCATGCACTGACTGTAGTAGAGAGAAGAATATACAAAAACATACAGTAAAACAATATATAAATAATTACAATAATAATATAAGAGATATACAATAATATGCAGCATTATATTACAATGTATACGATATATATATATATATATATATATATAAATATTTTATATATTATGTTTGAGGTGTATAGGCAGCTCTAACCTGCCTAATCGCCTGAGAAAGGTCCTGTGATGGCTGAAGACAAATTCATTTAAATTTCTTTCATTCATTGCAAACCATTTGCGTTCACAGCGGCCTAAACTGCTGCTAGGAGAAGGAGAAGAAGAAGAAGTACATAACAATTCATGCAGCAACTGCAGACGTAGAGAAGGAGGCAAAGAGACGCCATACTGAGGGCTCATTTTGTTGTTGCTGCTGCTTCTGCTGCTGCTGCTGCTGCTGCTACTGCTGCTGCTGCTGCTGCTACTGTTGCTGCTGCTGCTGCTGCTGCTGGCTGCAGCAGCAGCAGGGGAGGAAGAGCCATCTTCCTGCCCCTCCCGCAGCCGTTGCTGCTGTCGTTGCTGCTGCTGCTGTTGCTGCTGTTGCTGCTGCTGCTGCTGCACCAGCAGATTTCCCAGAGCCTCAAAGCTACCGAAGGCAGTAGAAAGAGAAGGGAATGACATTAACGTACTTTGCTGCTGCAGCAGACGTCGCTGCTGCTGCCGCTGCAGCAGCAGCCGCTCGTAAGGTGCTGCGCTCAGTGCAGAAGTTGAAGGCCCAGAGAACGTGCGACGGGGTTCGCCGTTGCGACTGCTGCTGCTGCTGCTGCTGCTACTACTGCTGCTGCTGCTGCTGCTGCTGTCTGCCTCTTGTTCATGAGTGTCTATTTGCAAGTCTTCCCTCTTAAGGTTGGGAACGGAAGAAAAAGCTTTGCGAGGAAGCTGCCTGGGGGAGTCCTGCTGCATTTGCTGTTGTTCTGTCTGACTTATAACTTCATTCACTTCGCTGTTGCTGTTTCGTGGTTCTGCTGCAAGGTGAGAAGCGTCTTCGTCGTCATTTGCTGCTGCTGTTTCTGCTGCTGCTGCTGCTTCTCCTGCTGCTGCTGATGCAGATCTTACGAGGGAATGAGAGGCAGCAGAGGACGTTGGCTGATGCGTGCAGACGTCTTCAAGTTCTCTCGCTGTCCCTTCATTTGTTGAGGTGTCTGTCCAACTTTCTCTGTGAGGCCTGCGTACAGGAGGCGTGGTGGTGGAGAGGCCCAGAAAAAGAGAAGACGGTGGTAAAAAGTTCATTTTGAGGGAAAATGAACGATAAATGCGTCAATCCTTTGAAACCGCATATGCAGGAAACTGAAAGGAATCATAAGAAATGATGAAAGAAGAAACGCGCATAGTTGGTGTTGTGCGAGTTCAACTCGACCTGCGTATACACCCAAAACCAGGGGTGCGATCTGCTGCATTTAAAGATGAATTTCAGAGAAACAACCACTAGAAAAGCAAATGAAGACAATTATGCATGCTAGAAGGTATTCAGAAAGCCTTGTAAGAGTCAAAACAGCCGCTACTCAAGACCGGCATTACCCATTCGCTGCAAAGAGGGAAAGCAGCCGAAAAAGGGTTCCGCGTGAGATAAATAGAGAGAAAAAGAGAAAATCGACTCAATAATATACTTTGAAAGTGTTATAATAACAATAACCTTTACAATTATTATTCGTTTTCTGCATTTATTTCAACATGAATCAGCATGCAGTTCCGTCCTGGACACCTGAATGTGCGGAGAGACGAAACTGCTGTGCTAATCGCCGGGAAGAGAAGACGAACTTTCAATTTTGTTGTGGAATTATAAAAGGAAAAGAAAATGCAAATTTAGAGAAAGAAGAAGAAAGAGAAATAAACGATGCTTCAACAACAACACCTGTTATAAACAACCCCAGCCACACAGCGGCTTGATGCTGCTGCCGCCTCTAGTCAAAAGGCTCACAAATTGGGGTATATTTTCTGCTTTTTTGAGTTTATTATATCTCATGAAGTTAATTATATTTAATGTTTTCAAACTCTGCATGAAAAAAATTCAAAATATCCATAAATTATCAGTCAAGTTTCTAGGGGCCCCCTCTTAGCGCTCGTACAACACTACCCCTGTAGATGAGGGAAGCAGCAACGATTGACTGTAGCTGTGCAATGCAGTTGGAGAATATTTTGTGTTTAAATTGTTCTTTAAAAGGTTTAAAAAGTATTCAAACTGTTTTTAAACAAAAAATAATTCATTTTCACTTTTTATTTGCATGCCTTCCGCAGCGATTATGCAGACATAGTAATATATCTCTTGCTACACTGCGTTCACCAGCTTGGGAATTGTTTGCATAAATTTGAATACATTTCTTTAAATAAGTCGATTGAAGAAGTTTTAAAATCATTTACATTTGTTTGAATATTAAATAAACCGAATACTAAGGCAGTAAGTACTTTCATACAGCCAACACTTCAAGTGGGGCTGCTGCCGCTGCAGCAGCTGCTGCTGCTGCTGCTGCTGCTGTTGCTGCTGCTGTTGCTGCATTCATTCGTGGGGAGCAGATTGGTGGGGCCGTTTGCTGCGTTTTAAATTTGCATTTGGGGGTTTTGTCTTCTTCTTTTATCTCAAGAGAATTATTTTTTGTTTCTCCTGAGAGAAAATGAAGTTTAACAAGAGTATGTCGAGCGGTGTCGCTGTTTCTGCTCTGTGTATATTCTTCTGTTTTGTTTGTGTTGTTGTTGTTGTTGTTTTGATTTCTTTTCTTTTTCTTTGTCTGTAATTCTTTATTTTCTTCTCTTTTGATTCGTCTTTAAGAAATAAACCCAAGGAGTGATGCAGCAGAAGAAAAGAAAAACAACAAACAATCTTCGTACATGCATATATATATCCAGACATATATTTGCATGCGCATGCAAATATCACTCTTTTATATTCCTTTATTTAAATCGAGTTGAAATCTTAAATCGAGGAAAAGAAGAAAAAATAAGACAAAAGAAACCAACTTGTGTTTGTTTGCATGAATTACATGCATGCAGTGCATGCAAAACGAAACCGCGAACATTTCTCTCTTTTCTTCTTCTCGTTCTCTGTGAAGTTTTACTTGAATTAATTTGTTTATTTATCCATTTATTTTGTTTATTTTCTTTCACCGTTTAAATCACAACGCGTTAACTTGTGTTATGCATGCGCTTACAAGAACTCTATAAACTCTCTGCTAATATATGAATATTATACATTTATATTATTTAATATATTTGCTTTTTATGTATTTTCAGGTGTCTCCTCCTCACGGAGGAAGTCAAGAAAGGCGCACTTCGGTGCTCCTTCTAGCGTCAGAAGAAAAATAATGACAGCCCCTTTATGCAAAGAACTGCGAAAGAAATTCAACGTAAGTTGGGGTGTATATGCATACACCTGAATATTTAACTTAAGATATATGATGCATGCATATTTTTATTTGTTTCATTTATTATACATTTATTTTATTTATTTAATAGTGTTTCCTTATCGCCTTTTGAGTGTTCCTTATATCCGTTTAGTTTATTTTTATCTTTGATTTTATTAATTTAAGAGTGTTTTATTAATGCTTCTTTTATTGATGCGATTTCCTTTCAATATTATTTATTCATTGATGTTTTTAATTGCTTCTTTGATGAATTTAATTTATTTTTCTTCTTTATTCTACTTCTTTTGCAGGTGCGCTCCTTGCCTATTCGCAAGGATGACGAAGTCATGATTGTTAGAGGACGTTTTCATGATAGAGAGGGCAAAGTAGTGCAGGTCTACCGCAAGAAGTTTGTTATTCATATTGAACGCATTTCAAGAGATAAACCTACAGGTATTATTACTATTATTATTGTTATTATTATTTCTTATTGTTCTTCTCCCTCTCCTCTTCCTTATTATTTCTCTTGCTTATTCTTGTTTCTCTTCTTCTTATTCTTCTTCGTTCTCGTCTTCGCCTTCGTCTTCTTGTTGTTGTTGTTTTTGTGGTTGTTGTCTGTCGTTTTGTTGGTTTATTATTGTTGTTTTGTTGCTTTGTTTAGGCCTGCATGCAGGTGCACCTTACTATGGATTTATTTGTTTATTAATAAATGCTTATTCATTAGTTTTATTATGCGATGTACAGTGCTGCATGTGCACAGAAGAGCGTTTACCTTTTGCAAGGCAGACGCTCTTGCATGCAGTAATAAATCAATAGAAGCCTCTCTCATGTATTGTGCATGCAGACTGTGCATGCGGTGGCTCTCCGCTCCCTGTATGCATGCATGCATGCATGCATTCAATCATCTGAATGCATGCATGGAGATAATTGTCAAGGGGCGTGGGTATTTTGTGTGTTTGTTGGATCGCGCTTGTTTGTGTGTGTGTTATTTGTGTTGTTTTATTTCTCTTCTGTTGCTTGTATTGCATAGTTTCATTTGAATGGATGTTATTCATATTGTTATTATTATCATCATTATTATAATTATGTTTGTTTTGCAGGAGAGAGCCCCATTGGCATTCACCCGAGCAAAGTGGTGATAACAAAGCCGAAATTGAACAAGGACAGAAAAGCGCTGTTAGAGAGGAAGAGCAAGGCTGCAAACAAGGGAAAGTACACCGAAAAGGACGTCAACCAAGTCGATTGATCTGCTGCTTCATAATAATAATATTAAATGCTCAATAAACAAGCAGCAACTCGCAAGCATATGTATATAAATATATAAATTATATGTATACTATATATGCTGCGATTGAGATTTGTTTAACGGCATCATTTATTATTACCTTGAGCGCAACAGCACAGACTTGGGGGCTCCCTTTGCTAGGCCTTTGTCTTCTGCTGCTGTCCTCAAGAACTGACGCTCCTAAATCTTCTTCTTGTTGCTGCTGCAGTTGCATGAATAAAAGACAGCCGAGTTGTATGTAGATGGAGAGACAAACATAAAAAGGAGAATACGAAACACAGTGCCCCTCGTTTCCCTCCTAGTGTTACCTGAAGTAGGCGGATCAGAGAGGCATGAGTAGCGTAGCTGCACAATACATATATACATACATATATATACATATGCATGCATATGAATCGTCTTTGTACAGCTGATAAGGATAATAGAAATAGTTTTTAAGCTGTTAATTGCAGCAAAACAGCTCGAACGGAACGCCTATGGCTCCAAATTATCGAGGGGAGCCGTGAGTGCGCAAATTCACTTTCTGCACAAACGTGAAATAACTGAAGAGAACAGGGAAAAGTGCTGGAAATTGCAGTTTACTTTTCCTGTCTTCTAAAGGATGGAAGCATTGAACATTAAGAAAAGGAAAATAAACACCTGAATACTGTGAAATGTAAATTTTGCAGGGGTTCACTTCAGCTTTTTTTTCGTCCGGTTTCGAACGAATGCAGATTTAGGGTGTATGTACACCTGAAATGATTTGAAAATTCGTCGTATTCCAACTTCTAATGAAGAAAAATAGGGGATTTTTGGGCGAAATACCTCCAAATCAACCGAATATTTTATTTGTTTTTGCATATTTTGAGTCAAAATGGACGTTTCGGCGATGAAAGCGCGGAGTTTTTTAGGTTTTATGAGCATTCGATCGGTGGGTAGATTGCTGATTTCGTTTCGCAATTCAATTTGTTGAATTTGTTGGTTTCCTTCGTGGCATTACTAATTAACTTTTTTTCAGGGGTTGATCGTTGTCGCGTTTTTGCAAATAATTGTCGGCGTTTTCCTGTTTATGTCGTTCAAATTCATCCGACCAACGCTCATTGTTCCTGCTTGGTTTCTGTTGTTGACGAATTGTTTCAGCGCTCTACTCGGGTAAGCTTGATTGAATATTCGTTTGTAGCTGAATACAATAATTAATTTCCATTATTAATCAAATCAATCAATAGAAAATCCATATTAATAATTATAAAGTAATTTGCTCCAACTATTATTACAAAGAATTATTTTCTCTGAATACAGCATATGGGGACTCTGGAGAAGAAATCAAGCCGTTGAAATTATTTACCTCGCTACTTTTATCGTCAGCTTCATCTTCCTCGTCCTCGTCGTCCTCACATTTTCTGATACCGTTGAACTGCTGCCTGCTGCGCCTAGAGGAGCGGTGGGTTACAACTAATTGAATTAATTAATTAATTAACTAATAAATTAAACCGATTAAATGAATGCAATAAGACCAATCCTTTATTCAGTTCAATTAAACAAAGTAAGCAAGTGCTTTTAATAAATGCGGTGAATTCGCTTTGAAAATCAAATAAATTCAATTGAAGAATGAACGAAGTGCAGTTAAACAAACACCGACTCAACCAACTATTATGAATACGCATGCTTACGTGAATATATTTCTACATTTTTGTTAATTGTACGTAGAAATGCATATCCATATATTTATACATATATGTTTATATTTGTCCTCCCGTATATATCTATACATTTTAATCGATTTACATTTTTATTTACATGTATACACTTCCGTTTACATCTTCCCCTATATTAAAGCATGCGCATTGATATAAGGATATTTATACTTAATTATATATATCTATTGATACTGAACAAGTAAAGTTATGAATATATTTCTTTCTTTGTTTTTAAAGGCTAACACAGGTTTCAGACAGTTTGACGTGGATGCACATTACCGTGCGAGGGCTCGAGCTGCATTTAATCGTCTTCGTTTAAATCCTGTCTTTTCAAGAGTTCTGCAAAATGTTCGATTAGAAGAGCCGTTGGATTTAATTGACTTTCATCTGCCGCAGCAATTAGAGATACCCCAATTAGAAATTCCTGATTATCAACATATGCCTTTCGGTATGAAAAACTTCATAACTTAATTATACTCTGTTCTAATTAATATTATAATTTAATTCAGTTTTACTCTGTTCTAATTGATCTTGATAATTTAATTCAATTGCACTCTGTTCTAATTACTTTTATTATTTATTTCAATTATACTCTGTTTTAATTACTTTTATAATCATATTCTATTAAACAGTGTTTGAATTATTTCTATAATCATATTCTATTAAACCCTGTTTTATATCCTCTAATTATATTTTATTTAAACTCTGTTTTAACTGCTTTTATAATTTAATTCAATTAAACACTGCTTATAAAACGATACACAACGGTGATCGTTTTGTTTAAGATATTTAGTCAAACATTCAATTACAACTATTATATTTGATTAATGCTATTAATATAATTATATTCAATTACTATTATTATATTTAATCTATATTTCTTTTTCAGTTCCGCATGCAAATCAAACGGCGGGAGAAAACGGCGAAGTTTCTGTAGGCGAGCTGCCACCAGAGTGAGAAGACGTCTTTGTTTATTTTCTCTTTAAATAAATAAACTCTAATTTGTTTATTGTTTATTCATTTATTATTCATCTCGTATTCATTTCCTAATTCTTTATTCATTAAGACGTCTTTGTTTATTTTTCTTTAAATGAATAAACCCTTATTTGTTTATTATTCTTATTTTTATTATATATTTATTTATGCATGATTTACTTATTAATGACTCCCTCGCCGTTTATATATTAATAATCAATTATAATTTTTCATTCCTTTGCCTTCATTTATTTATTATTTACTTCTTAATAAACAATTATAATTCTTTTATTCATTCAGCTTTAAGAAACTGACGACCTCACAGAAGGATGAAGTATTGGCTCTAGCAAAAATGCAGAAACGGCGTAAGTTATTAAAAAAATAAAAAATAAAAATAAATGCTTCTTAAAATATGTACAAGTAATGAGTATATAATGGTATATATAAATATAATAATAAATACATGCATTGTTGCTTGTGTATTTTATAGTAAATAAAATATTTACAGTAAATAAACAAACAGCATATGAATATCTACTAATCAACACATAGCGGTGAACTTAAGTAATAAAGGAATAATAGACTGAGGCAATCAAACAACAAATAACTAACTAAATAAATAAATAAATAGTAAAGTAATGAATAAGAAGGATATATGAATATTACTGTAATGAAGATCTTCACACACAACTTGAAATATATTTATTTTTAAACGATAAATAGAGAAATATTAAATTCATTGCGCAAGCAGCATTTCAGCTGGGAATTGCAGGGGCGTTGTCTTTGGTGGCTCTCTTTGAAGTGTACTGGTGAGAAGAAGAAAATAAATTTAATTGATTTAATCTATTTGATTTGTTTTATTGAGTTTTATTATTTATTTTATTGTAATTATCAGCGCTTGGGTTGTGCTCACCTTCATAATGAATAAATGCTTGAGCTTTGACGAGATGATTGGAGCAGAAGAACAGTAAGTTTAGCCGTTGATATATTTTTATTCTTGCTGTTCTTCTTGCTGTTGTTGTTGCTGCTGCTGTTGCTGTAGGTATTGTTTTTGCTGTTAGTCTTTTGTGTTGTTATCCTCGTTATTGTTATTATTGTTATTGTTATTGTTATTGCTATTGTTATTGTTATTGTTATTGTTATTGTTATTGTTATTGTTATTGCTGTCGTTATTCTTATTCTTGTTGCTCTTACTGCTAATAATTAAATAATTACTAATTAAATGGAGAATGCAAACCATTATAACAAAAAACTGAAGGCGAGATTAACAAGAATTATAAGAATAATAATACTAATAATAATTATTGTTGTTTCGTACTAAATAACTAAAATAAAAAATAACAATCATTCTCTCATTTAAATTAAAAAAAGCAAAGAGCCGCCAATAATGAATAAAGTGTTGGTGGTAATAGAGTTGAGATCAGAATAAAATAAAAGAATTTAATTTAAAACAACAAAATTCTTTTTTTAATAACTCCAACCAACGCAGGTTTGCGCCGCTGATCGGTGCGCAGTAAAAAGAAGAAAAAGAAAACAGCAAAAAGAAGAAAAAGAAAATAAACAACAACAGAGAACAAATACACCTGAACCCAGTCAATAAGAAAAGATAAAAAGAAAAAGAAGACAAAGAAAAAAAGAAGAAAGAAGACAAAGAAAAAGAAAATAGAAGCAAAAGAGAAGAGGAAGAAGAAAAAGAACAAGCAACAATAACAAGAGGAACAACACCGATATCAATTAAAGACAACAACTACTACTACCACCACCAAAGCAGCAGCAGCAGCAGCAGCAGCAGCTGAAGCAGCAGCGGCAGCAGCAGCAGCGGCAGCTGCAGCAGCAG